ATCTTTCCTCAATCTTTGACGGCTTTGGTTACATTTATTAAACAGTTTACAAGCATGAAAACTTGCCAATCAACTGTTGTTATTGTTATAAACAGCCTCCTGGTGCTTCGGAGCTCATTAACTGTTTAATAATTGGAAACAAAGCCGCCAAAGATTGGGAAAAGATGTACAGGTTCGTAAGTACTTGCGTAACTGCTTCGTGAATCTGACCCGAGACCTGCTGGCCTCAACTCTATCAATCTAATCTATCAACAACAAGAATCTATCAACTCTGCCTAGCTCAAGGCATCTGACTCTCCATATGGAAAAGGCCGATGAAGTTCCAGTCCAAAAAAAAAGAGTTGTTCACTAGTGTCTGCTTTTCTGCTTTTTAGTGTCTGTCTGCTGTTCACTAGTGTCTGCTTTTAGTTTAGTTTTAGTCTGCTTGAACATTTTGGGGAACATTAATTAATGTCATTAATGGTATTTCTGTGCCATTAATCTCTCAGCAAATGAAGCATTTATTTTTTTCCATCATCAGGGAGCCGGTCGGCCGACCGGACAGCACGCTGGGCTTGTGATCCTGTGGTCCTGGGTTCGATCCCGGGCGCCGGCGAGAAACAATGGGCAGAGTTTCTTTCACCCTATGCCCCTGTTACCTAGCAGTAAATTAGGTACCTGGGTGTTAGTCAGCTGTCACGGGTTGCTTCCTGGGGGTGGAGGCCTGGTCGAGGACCGGGCCGCGGGGACACTAAAAGCCCCGAAATCATCTCAAGATAACCAGGGTTACTATGTGGTCATGGATTTAGTTTTGGGAAAGGTTGTTCTGTTACTGATCTCCTGCTGAGCCTCTCCACTAAGTGGTATCAAGCATTGCATGATTCCAAATTAAATTGTATTGTTGCAATGGACATTGCAGGAGCAATTGTAGAGACTGTCGGCGGCTGTTATGCACAAGGGAAATGTTCTCAAGGTTCCTGCATCTGTACCAACTTCAAGGACAATCAGAAGTTGGAGATGACAACACAAGGCGCTCAGCAATCATCATTCCCTGCTTCTTTTTCGAGAGCATCACTCCACCAGTGTTCCTTCATTCCTAGGCTGACCCGCCACTGGAGAATAATTCCTCAACATGTAGATACAATTGAAAACATGTCAAACTACCTGTTCCCTACTTGATAGCATTTAATTCGAGTTCATCCATAATGTATTAAAAGCTCATGAAATAAATAAGTTTCTAGCGACTGGATTCAGATGAGCTGAAGGAGGATAACAGCTCTTAACTTTCTGTTTCATTAGGAAACTTAACACAATTCCTAATGAACATAAGTTTCAGTTTACAGAGAGAGAGAGAGAGAGAGAGAGAGAGAGAGAGAGAGAGAGAGAGAGAGAGAGAGAGAGAGAGAGAGAGAGAGAGAGAGAGAGACAGAGACAGAGAGAGAGAGAGAGAGAGAGAGAGAGAGAGAGAGAGAGAGAGAGAGAGACAGAGAGAGAGAGAGAGAGAGAGAGAGACAGAGACAGAGAGAGAGGAAGCCAAGATATATGTGAAAGTTCAGCCGTGCTCCAAAGGGTATCAGAACCGATCTAGCAGGCCTTAAAGGTGTCTGGACAGGTTTGAGGATCTGTCTGAAAGGGATCTGAGGATATTAACGGCGTCCGGTGGAGGGTTCAGCGTGTCTACAAGGATCAGGGAAGCGCAATGGTCAGAATCTGGGGGTTTTAAAGGTTTCGGAACCGGTTTAGGCTCGTTGCCCAGAGTTACCGCAGACCCTGACCGGAAAATTACGTCTCTTGGACGTAATATGTGCGTCCGTGGAAAATTACGTCTCTTGGACGTAATATGTGCGTCCGTGGAAAATTACGTCTCTTGGACGTAATATGGGCGTCCGTGGAGCTCTGGCAGCGCCATCTAGGACCGAGACGTCGTGACCTTTCCACTTCTGTCTCATATTTCCTTACGTTGTTATTCTCTTCTTTATAAGAAAGCGAGTGACAATAGAGTAACATGAGACAGCGATATCCACAACTCAAGACGCTCAGCCATCATCAATCTCGTGGTTACATTTATTAAACAGTTTACAAGCAGGAAAACTTGCCAATCAACTGTTGTTATTGTTATAAACAGCCTCCTGGTGCTTCGGAGCTCATTAACTGTTTAATAATTGTAAACAAAGCCGCCAAAGATTGCGAAACGATGTACAGGTTCGTAAGTGCTTGCGTAACTGCTTCTTGAATCTGGCCCCTGGTTCGTAAGTGCTTGCGTAACTGCTTCTTGAATCTGGCTCCAGGTTCATAAGTGCTTGCGTAACTGTTTCTTGAATCTGGCCCCAGGTTCGTAAGTGCTTGCGTAACTGTTTCTTGAATCTGGCCCCAGGTTCGTAAGTGCTTGCATAACTGCTTCTTGAATCTGGCCCCAGGTTCGAAAGTGCTTGCATAACTGCTTCGTAAAACTGGCCCCAGGTTCGTAAGTGCTTGCGTAACTGCTTCGTGAAACTGACCCCTGGTTCGTAAGTGCTTGCGTAACTGCTTCGTGAATCTGGCCCTAGGTTCGTAAGTGCTTGCGTAACTGCTTCGTGAATCTGGCCCCAGGTTCGTAAGTGCTTGCGTAACTGCTTCGTGAATCTGGCCCCAGGTTCGTAAGTGCTTTCGTAACTGCTTCGTGAATCTGACCCCAGGTTCGTAAGTGCTTTTGTAACTGCTTCGTGAATCTGACCCCTGGTTCGTAAGTGCTTGCGTAACTACTTCGTGAATCTGGCTCCAGGTTCGTAAGTGCTTTCGTAACTGCTTCGTGAATCTGGCCCCAGGTTCGTAAGTGCTTGCGTAACTGCTTCGTGGCCCCCTCGTTTCAAACAACATCACTCTATCAGGGATCACCCATTAACAGGCTAACTAACACTTGTTCCTTCAAAACGTGACAGCCAATCAAGCGAGCATATGAAGGCTCTGGCACCCACATGATTCGTCCTGTACCATACATGATTGTCAAAGAATTCTGTATTGGTAGTTATTTAGCTTGTTAGCTTACAAGGGATGAATGGTAGACATTTATATCTGTCTCTGTGTCTATGTCTCTTCTTGTCTCTCCATATCTTTCTCTACTTTCTCTACTTATCTCTATTTATTTCGATGTCAAGCGAGGGTTTTCTCTCTATATAAGACCTTAACGACTTCTCTCTCTCTGGGTATTCAAGTGAACATAGAAATATTGTTAAACATATTACCCAGGAGACAAACACACACACACACACACACACACACACAGGAACAGGTGTTCAGGAACCTGTACACCTGTTAATTGACGGTTGAGAGGCGGGACCAAAGAGCCAGAGCTCAACCCCCGCAAGCACAACTAGGTGAGTACAACTAGGTGAGTACACACACACACACACAAAGACAGGATTGTGTGTGTGTGTGTGTGTATGACATTATATGACAAAGAGTGCTTGGAAGATGGGACACCACGAGCGTAGCTCTTATCCTGTAACTACACTTAGGTAATTACACACACACACACACACACACACACACACACACACACACACACACACAGTTCATCAGAACATCAGGCGTGTACTTGGATCTCCTCCTTGAACTATGGAGTTACTGCTCCAATACTTGAGGACGACTTATCGTTGAGCTCCCCCCCCCCCACAACACTTGATCCCCTCAGCCAGGATTACTTCTCTGGTTTGTACTGTGGAGTCACGCACACGCACACACGCACACGCACGCAATTCCTCTAGGCTCTGGAATCTGTACACCAGTTGACTGACGGTTGAGAGGCGGGACCAAAGAGCCAGAGCTCAACCCCCGCAAGCACAACTAGGTGAGTACACGCCCACACGCACACACACATGCACACACAGCGCTCGGAGGTCGTAGTCCTAAGGGCCCGGGTTCGATTGCCGGTCGAGGCAGAAACAAATAGGTCGTTTCTTTCACCTTATGCACCTGTTCACCTTGTAGTAAATAAGTACCTGTGAGTTATAGAGCTGCTGCTCTCTCTCTCACGTTAGAGAGAGAGAGAGAGAGAGAGAGAGAGAGAGAGAGAGAGAGAGAGAGAGAGAGAGAGAGAGAGAGAGAGAGAGAGAGAGAGAGAGAGAGAGAGAGAGAGAGAGAGAGAGAGAGAGAGAGAGAGAGAGAGATGTAGTACATATAATATATTAAAATAGGTCGGGAGTCAATATATTAGACAACTGACGGTTAGAAAGGCGGGGCCCAGGAGCTAAAACCTCGATCCTTTAAGAACAGATACAAATACACACACACACATACACACACACACACAGTCATACACACACACCCAGTAGGCTCAGGAACCTGTACACCAGTTGATTGACAGTTGAGAGGCGGGACCAAAGAGCCAAAGCTCAATCCCCGCAAGCACAAATAGGTGAGTACACACACACACACTTTAACACAAACACAATATCTTTGTGTTTGTTATAAAACAAGCACAATCTCAAGTATATAAAAATCATCACGATTTAGATGATTCGAAGACTGACGAATATAGATATGGATGATTAGCGAATCATCCATGATGAGTTTTGAAGACTGGAGTGTTGAATAGGGAGGATTAGGAGGAAGGAATGACAATAGGCAGGGATTGGATAGAGTATTTGACCATCAGATAGATGGAACTAGACAGAAATTAAAGGGAACTGGATAAAAAAGAATAGACGGTTGGGCAACTGAAGTTGATGGACGGGGGATTGAAAGGGATAGACGGGAAATGAAGAATCAGAAGAAAGCACCAAGCCATTACGACTATATAGCCCTAGGAAGGGGTCAGGATAAGGATTTGGGATGGGACGGGGGGAAAGGAATGGTACCCCAACCACTTGTGGACGGTCGGGGATTGAACGCCGACCTGCATGACGCCAGACCGTCGCTCCAGCCCAAGCGGTAGGTAGGGGGGAGTAGAAAGGATGGAAGGAAACGGTGGATAGGGAATGGATAATGTATTAGAGTTAAGGGGACGGTGGATAAAGCAGCGAGAAAGAGGAATTAACAACACATCAACAGAACTGGAAATCAATAACACGAAATGAAATTCTGAGAATGAGACTGGAGAGTGAGTAAACGTTCTTGACGTTGACGTACTTGACGCTGACGTACTTGACGCTGACGTACTTGACGCTGACGTACTTGACGCTGACGTACTTGACGCTGACGTACTTGTTGATGTATTTGTTGATGTACTTGATGACGTATTTGTTGATGTACTTGCTGTTGACGTACTTGTTGTTGACGTACTTGATGACGTATTTGTTGATGTACTTGATGACGTATTTGTTGATGTACTTGCTGTTGACGTACTTGTTGTTGACGTACTTGATGACGTATTTGTTGATGTGCTTGATGACGTACTTAACGTTGACGTACCTGTTGATGTATTTGTTGACGTACTTGTTGTTGACGTACTTGATGTTGACGTACTTGATGTTGACGTACTTACTGTTGACGCACTTGTTGTTGACGCACTTGTTGTTGACGCACTTGTTGTTGACGCACTTGTTGTTGACGCACTTGTTGTTGACGCACTTGTTGTTGACGCACTTGTTGTTGACGCACTTGTTGTTGACGCACTTGTTGTTGACGTACTTGTTGTTGACGCACTTGTTGTTGACGCACTTGTTGACGCACTTGTTGTTGACGCACTTGCTGTTGACGTACTTGTTGTTGACGTACTTGTTGTTGACGTACTTACTGTTGACGTACTTGTTGTTGACGCACTTACTGTTGACGTACTTGTTGTTGACGTACTTGTTGTTGACGCACTTACTGTTGACGCACTTGTTGTTGACGTACTTGTTGTTGACGCACTTGTTTTTGACGCACTTGTTGTTGACGCACTTGATGTTGACGCACTTACTGTTGACGTACTTACTGTGGACGCACTTGTTGTTGACGCACTTATTGACGTACTTGTTGACGCACTTGTTGTTGACGCACTTGTTGACGCACTTGTTGTTGACGCACTTGTTGTTGACGCACTTGTTGTTGACGCACTTGTTGTTGACGCACTTGTTGTTGACGCACTTGTTGTTGACGTACTTGTTGTTGACGTACTTACTGTTGACGTACTTGTTGTTGACGCACTTGTTGTTGACGCACTTGTTGTTGACGTACTTGTTGTTGACGCACTTACTGTTGACGCACTTGTTGTTGACGTACTTGATGTTGACGCACTTGATGTTGACGCACTTGCTGTTGACGTACTTGTTGTTGACGTACTTGTTGTTGACGTACTTACTGTTGACGTACTTGTTGTTGACGTACTTGTTGTTGACGCACTTACTGTTGACGCACTTGTTGTTGACGTACTTGTTGTTGACGCACTTGTTGTTGACGCACTTGTTGTTGACGCACTTGTTGTTGACGCACTTGTTGTTGACGCACTTGTTGTTGACGCACTTGTTGTTGACGTACTTGTTGTTGACGCACTTGTTGTTGACGCACTTGTTGACGCACTTGTTGTTGACGCACTTGTTGACGCACTTGTTGTTGACGCACTTGCTGTTGACGTACTTGTTGTTGACGTACTTGTTGTTGACGTACTTACTGTTGACGTACTTGTTGTTGACGCACTTACTGTTGACGTACTTGTTGTTGACGTACTTGTTGTTGACGCACTTACTGTTGACGCACTTGTTGTTGACGTACTTGTTGTTGACGCACTTGTTTTTGACGCACTTGTTGTTGACGCACTTGATGTTGACGCACTTACTGTTGACGTACTTACTGTGGACGCACTTGTTGTTGACGCACTTATTGACGTACTTGTTGACGCACTTGTTGTTGACGCACTTGTTGACGCACTTGTTGTTGACGCACTTGTTGTTGACGCACTTGTTGTTGACGCACTTGTTGTTGACGCACTTGTTGTTGACGTACTTGTTGTTGACGTACTTACTGTTGACGTACTTGTTGTTGACGCACTTGTTGTTGACGCACTTGTTGTTGACGTACTTGTTGTTGACGCACTTACTGTTGACGCACTTGTTGTTGACGTACTTGATGTTGACGCACTTGATGTTGACGCACTTGCTGTTGACGTACTTGTTGTTGACGTACTTGTTGTTGACGTACTTACTGTTGACGTACTTGTTGTTGACGTACTTGTTGTTGACGCACTTACTGTTGACGCACTTGTTGTTGACGTACTTGTTGTTGACGCACTTGTTTTTGACGCACTTGTTGTTGACGCACTTGATGTTGACGCACTTGTTGACGCACTTACTGTTGACGTACTTGTTGTTGACACACTCACTGTTGACGCACTTACTGTTGACGCACTTGTTGACGCACTTGATGTTGACGTACTTGTTGTTGACACACTCACTGTTGACGCACTTACTGTTGACGCACTTGTTGTTGACGCACTTGTTGTTGACGCACTTACTGTTGACGCACTTGTTGTTGACGCACTTACTGTTGACGCACTTACTGTTGACGCACTTGTTGTTGACGCACTTACTGTTGACGCACTTACTGTTGACGCACTTACTGTTGACGCACTTACTGTTGACGCACTTACTGTTGACGCACTTGTTGTTGACGCACTTACTGTTGACGCACTTGTTGTTGACGCACTTACTGTTGACGCACTTACTGTTGACGCACTTACTGCTGACGCACTTACTGTTGACGCACTTGTTGTTGACGCACTTACTGTTGACGTACTTATTGTTGACGCACTTGTTGATGCACTTACTGTTGACGCACTTGTTGTTGACGTACTTGTTGTTGACGCACTTACTGTTGACGCACTTGTTGTTGACGCACTTGTTGTTGACGCACTTGTTGTTGACGCACTTGTTGTTGACGCACTTACTGTTGACGCACTTACTGTTGACGCACTTGTTGACGCACTTGTTGACGCACTTACTGTTGACGCACTTACTGTTGACGCACTTGTTGTTGACGTACTTGTTGTTGACGCACTTACTGTTGACGCACTTGTTGTTGACGCACTTGTTGTTGACGCACTTACTGTTGACGCACTTGTTGTTGACGTACTTGTTGTTGACGCACTTGTTGTTGACGCACTTGTTGTTGACGCACTTACTGTTGACGCACTTGTTGTTGACGCACTTGTTGTTGACGTACTTGTTGTTGACGCACTTACTGTTGACGCACTTGTTGTTGACGCACTTGTTGTTGACGTAATTGTTGACGCACTTGTTGTTGACGTACTTGTTGTTGACGCACTTGTTGTTGACGTACTTGCTATCTTAAGAACATCTTAAGTTCGTCTCAGTAGAGTTAATCCTTCTCCGGAAAATTAATCCTTACCAGAGTTTCTTAGGGATTTTTAAATCCCAATCCGTCTTGACCTACTCTAACTCGGCTGGATTAAGCCCTGTTAACTAAACTAATCCCACTCAACACATAATCCGTCAGTCGCATTAAATCCTCTATTCCAGACACACCACACTCGTGAGGATTAATTTCTTAAACTGAATCCTCTTTGAGAGAGAAATCCTACTCAAAGGAATTTCTCACTCTTTCGGATTAAACCCACTGATCTGAGTAATCCTACTTTAAATGTATAATCCCTCGCTCGTATTAATCCCTCTAAATCATATTCCCACCCGAAGATTATCTCTATTGAAATTAATCCATCTAGGCAATGAAATCCCAATAAAAAGGATTAATCGCTATAAAATAAACCCCACTTAAGATTAATCTCTAACTTTATATAAACCATCTTGATGATCCAAATCCCACTAATAGATGAATACCTTTAGACCAAACAAATCCCAATCTAAGAGATTACAGTTCCTGGGATTAATCCCTCCATGGAACATTCTCGATAAACTCCTTGGGAGAGAAAACCCAGGTTCGAGGTTCTTGCCTTCTGGCCAAACTTCAAGAATTGCCCAAGCGTCTTCAACACATAATGGCGGACTTCCTCTGCGCTACAAAATACTTAAAGACTTTGAGACGTTCTCGTTTCTCGGTGATTTTCGCGCATCACAAAGTTCCTTATAAATAAATGAGGCATTTTGCGCTGCCTCGCTGCGGAAATTGGGTAGTTAGTGATATTGGGGGGGGTGGGGGGGGGGGGGGACGGGTTGACAGGTGTGGGGCGTCGTAGCCACGCTTCACATGTGGGTCTACTCACATCAAAGATATACCCCCTTCAAACTATTAAGATATTAATGCAATTTGCATTCGCAAAGTAATTTTTTTTTTACGATGGTACAATTGTTCAGCTGAAGAGTCATTAACTACATCACGAATATGCTTCTAATAACTAAAAAAAATCTAGGTTTAAATAAATTGGGTTTTAAAAACCGCTGATGAGAGGATTATATTCGAAAACTAACTTGAAAACGTACGGTTTTACAAGGACATTTTGGCCATGTTAGTTCATCACAATGGCGGGGCGGCAGATTTAGAGTGAAAATAACCCGATAGACAGTGCAAAAATCTATTTTCTTATATATCTTACCTTAAAAATACGTTCCATGTCCGGTTGGAATCCCCCTGATATCCCACGAATGATAACTTACCTGAGTATTATCAGCAGCTCGAGGACCTGGAAAGAAACGAATGATAAATGATAACTTAAGAACATAAGAATAAAGGTAACTGCAGAAGGCCTATTGGCCCATACGAGGCAGCTCCTATCTATATCCACCCAATCATATTCATATGTATGTCTAGCCTACGCTTGAAACAATCAAGGGATCCTACGATTATGTTAAGCGGTAATTGGTTCCACTAATCAACAACCCTGTTACCGAACCAGTATTTACCCAGTTCTTTCCTAAATCTAAACTTATGGAATTTATACCCATCAAAACCTAACATTTGTCAACATTTAAAACCCTATTTAGATCGTCTTGTGGTGATCGTGAGTCATTTTCCGTGTATTTCCATCCCGATTTTCGTATTATCGACAAATTTGCAAATATTATTGCTCAAACCTAAATCTAAATCATTTATATAAATTATGAATAACAGAGGTCCCAGGACAGAGCCTTGAGGCACTCCACTTAAAACATTATCCCACTCTGACTTAACCCCATTTATACTAACTCTCTATTTACTTTGGTATAGCCATGCCCTAATCCAAGTTAATATAGCACCCCCAATACCATGAGACTATCTTTTTAATCAGTCTTTCATGTGGCACTGTATCAAAAGCTTTGCTAAAGTCTAGGTACACAACATCACAATCCTTACCACTATCAACTGCCTCAACTATGCTGGAATAAAATGATAGCAAATTTGTTAAACATGAACGGCCATTTGTAAAATCATGTTGCGACTCATTTATTAATTTATGTTTGTCATTTGCAATTATCTTAGATCGGGTAAGATAGTGAACTTACCAGATCACTATCAGCTCCTCGAACCCCTGGAGACACAAAGATAATGTTTCTCTTCCAGATCACTATTCCGTGCCAATCGGCATAAAGTAATTCACTATCACTCTCAAATACAAAACATTAATGTGGCGGAGTATATTGAGCACCACGAGTCAACGACCGTCCCTCAACGACGCCTGGGCGGGCACTGGGCATAACGTCGTTATGACCTCACCTATCTTGTTTATGTTGATATGCCAGATGTACGATGATTTTATATCCACAAAATAAACAAGTTAAATTTTGTTACAAAATTATATGATTACGTCCAAGTTACGTTTAAAAAAGATCGACGTACATTATAGTTACGTGGTATTATGATGAACTCATCGAGGATGATGAGTACTGATGATAAGTATATTCAAGGAGGACTGCCACGTGTTCAATCCCACCTTACCTTGAGGTTACCTTGAGGTGCTTCCGGGGCTTAGCGTCCCCGCGGCCCGGTCGTCGACCAGGCCTCCTGGTTGCCGGACTGATCAACCAGGCTGTTGGACGCGGCTGCTCGCAGCCTGACGTATGAGTCACAACCTGGTTGATCAGGTATCCTTTGGAGGTGCTTATCCAGTTCTCTCTTGAACACCGTGAGGGGTCGGCCAGTTATGCCCCTTATGTGTAGTGGAAGCGTGTTGAACAGTCTCGGGCCTCTGATGTTGATAGAGTTCTCTCTCAGAGTACCAGTTGCACCCCACACCAACACAGTGTAAGTCTTATGGCAACACAGTGTAAGTAATCTTGTAAAATTATGAACCGACTCATATATGGTGTTGGTTCGAATACCTCCTCACATGTGATGATTCGAACAGCAGCCCATATATAGTGTTAGTTCGAACACCAGCTCCAAAACTGGTGCTGGTTCGAACACTGAATCCTAAATGGTGAGGGGTTCGAATACGGATTCATACGTGGTTGTGGGTCTGTGTAAACAAGACCGCCTTAGCCACCTTAAGATGGCTGAGCGGTAATAGAATTTGTTGCTGGGGGGGGGGGAGGTAGCTTTATCCTTCCTGGGGTGGGGGAGGGAGGTAGCTTTATCCTTCCTGGGGGTGGGATAGGGGGGGTAGTTTTATCCTTCCTGGGGTAGGGGAGAGAGGTAGCTTTATCCTTCCTGGGGTGGGGGAGGGAGGTAGCTTTATCCTTCCTGGGGTGGGGGAGGGAGGTAGCTTTATCCTTCCTGGGGTGGGGGAGGGGAGTAGCTAGCTTTATCCTTCCTGGGGTGGGTAAGGGGGTAGCTTTATCCTTCCTGGGGTGGGAGAGGGGTAGCTTTATCCTTCCTGAGATGGGGGGATTTTTTTAAGGGAGGGGGATATGAGAGAGTAATATTGATCTTAATATAATGAGGATCAATACCTGTTCCAGTCCTCAGTTGTGAGCACCCTCACCATTTGGTCATTATATTTAACGAGTCTCTAACAATGACAAGTGTAGAACACATCAGCACATTTCTTAAGATCAATATTCTCGTTTTCCATAACTCAAGGAGCTGAACCTTCAATTCCAGGGGGCACTGAAGGAGGCCAGAGCCATCTGGTGAGATGTGGGAAGTACTATAGAGTTCTGAGGGGCAGATTCACGAAGCAGTTACGCAAGTATTTACGAACCTGGGGCCAGATTCACGAAGCAGTTACCCAAGCACTTACGAACATGTACGTCTTTTCTCAATCTTTGGCGGCTTTGTTTACAATTATTAAACAGTTAATGAGCTCCGAAGCACCAGGAGGCTGTTTATAACATAACAACAGTTGATTGGCAAGTTTTCATGCTTGTAAACTGTTTAATAAATGTAACCAAACCCGTCAAAGATTGAGGAAAGATGTACACGTTCGTAAGTGCTTGCGTAACTGCTTCATGAATCTGGCCCCTTGAAATGAATAGCATACTAAAGATAAGATAACCTAAGATAACCAAACTTAACCTAAGACATCTCACAAAGACTAGTGAAGTGTTAACAACTTTTTTTGACCATAAGAGGGGTCGAAATTACCATTGTACGTCAAGAAAGATTGGTTTTAAAACGGACGTCTTGGAATAATATTGTTTTAACTTAATGAACTGGATTAAAGATATTAGTTTCATGTATTTGGGGGTTGAAAACCATGAAAAAGAATTTCCTGGTGTGAAGTTCCATTCAAGTGATCACGATTTCGATAAGGAGAGAGAGAGAGAGAGAGAGAGAGAGAGGAGAGAGAGAGAGAGAGAGAGAGAGAGAGAGAGAGAGAGAGAGAGAGAGAGAGAGAGAGCACAGGTCAAGTTGCAAGGGTCAAAAATCATCCTGATGGATTTAAGTTGCCCCCTGAAAACTTTCTGATTAGATTCAGACCCTAAAGTGAAAACTTCTGAATGGATTATGTCTCTGAGAAATTTTGTTTAGCCGATTTCGATAAGGAAACATTCACAGAGCCGTGGCGATAGGTTGAGAGAGAGAGAGAGAGAGAGAGAGAGAGAGAGAGAGAGAGAGAGAGAGAGAGAGAGAGAGAGACAGAGAGAGTGACAGAGAGAGAGACAGAGAGAGAGAGAGAGAGAGAGAGAGAGAGAGAGAGAGAGAGAGAGAGAGAGAGAGAGAGAGAGAGAGAAATGAACCACTGTACCATAATGATGACTAAATGTAAAGGAAGAACAAATAGAAGTGAAATAAACTAATAACGAAAGAGATAATAAAGAGACCAATAGGAAAGAGGAAACCTTAACATGAAATGAGAAATAAAGTAGTTTAATAAAATGAGAAAAAGGAATCAGTGAAAAATAAAATGAAAGCAGGATTGAAAATAAAATTATGAAAAATAAATTACCAGAAGAAAAAAAAATGGAGAAAGATAATGGAATAGAAACAAAATAGAAGAGGGAGAAAATGGTAGAAACAAGGAATGGTAGATAGAAATAATGGAGAGAGGCAATAGGGAGAAACGGAACGGTGGAAAGGTAATGGGGAGATAGGGAAAGGTGGAGAGAGAGAGGTAAAAGGGAGAGAGAAAATGGGTAAGAGAGATAATGGGAAAGAAGTATCGGAAATAGTAATTCAAAAGAGTGTAGAAAATGAAGTGCAAAATAATGCATATAAATAACGCGATAAACTTTATGTAACGCCACAGACGCAAAGACAAAGTCGCGTGACGCAAAGATAAAGCGGCGTGACGCAAAGACAAAGCTGCGTGACGCAGAGACTAAGCAGCGTGACGCAAAGACTAAGCAGCGTGACGCAGAGACAAAGCAGCGTGACGCAAAGACAAAGTAGCGTGACGCAAAGACAAAGTAGCGTGACGCAAAGATTAAGCGGCGTGACGCAAAGACAAAGCAGCGTGACGCAGAGAAAACTGAAAACAAAGCGACGTAAATAAAAGAACAACAAAACCACGTGGTCCCCCACAACAACAACAAAGCCACGTGGTCTCCAACAACAACAAAGCCACGTGGTCCCCCACAACAACAAACCCACGTGGTCCCCCACAACAACAAATCCACGTGGTCCCCCCACAACAACAACAAACCCACGTGGTCCCCCACAACAACAAAGCCACGTGGTCCCCCACAACAACAACAAAGCCACGTGGTCCCCCACAACAACAACAAAGCCACGTGGTCCCCCCCACAACAACAACAAAGCCACGTGGTCCCCCACAACAACAAAGCCACGTGGTCCCCCACAACAACAACAAACCCACGGGCCCCCCCCCACGACAACAACAAACCCACGTGGTCCCCCACAACAACAAACGTGGTCCCCCACAACAACAACAAACCCACGTGGTCCCCCCACAACAACAAAGCCACGTGGTCTCCCACAACAACAACAAACCCCACGTGGTCCCCCACAACAACAAAGCGACGTGGCCCCCCCACAACAACAAAGCCACGTGGTCTCCCACAACAATAACAAGCCCACGTGGTCCCCCACAACAACAAAGCCACGTGGTCCCCCACAACAACAAAGCCACGTGGTCCCCCACAACAACAACAAACCAACGTGGTCCCCCACAACAACAACAAACCCACGTGGTCCCCCACAACAACAAAACCACGTGGTCCCCCACAACAAAGCCAACAACAACAAAGCCACGTGGTCCCCCCACAACAACAAAGCAACAACCAAACGTGGTCCCCCACAACAACAACAAAACCACGTGGTCCCCCACAACAACAAAACCACGTGGTCCCCCACAACAACAAACCCACGTGGTCCCCCACAACAACAACAAACCCACGTGGTCCCCCACAACAACAACAAACCCACGTGGTCCCCCACAACAACAAAACCACGTGGTCCCCCACAACAACAACAAACCCACGTGGTCCCCCACAACAACAACAAAGAGACACCCATAGAGCGAGTGAGGGAGAGGCGAGTGGCAGGCCAAAGGGACAAAAATAAAAGGAAGAGGAAGTAGAGGAAGATACGGATGAGAGGGAGGAAGGAAGAGCCCCAAAGAATCTCAGGAAGAACATGCAAGTTCTGCAAGAGTTAAGAGTTCCTGTCTTGAGGAGCAGTTCCTTCTTGCTCTCTCTCTCTCGCAATGTTTCTCTTTATTCTCACACATTTTTGTTTGTTTATATCTTGGTGATATATGACTCGCGCGTTCATGCAGTCTTTCTTGTCACACACACACATATACATTATATATATATATATATATATATATATATATATATATATATATATATATATATATATATATATATATATATATATATATATATATATATATATCCCATGTATATCTTGTAACCATCCAGAGTGGTTGATAAAGCCTTAATAACCCTCAAGAGGGGGTGGTAGGAGCCTTAAAAGCCTCACAGAAACTGTATTGGATAGGCCTTAATAACCCTTCCAGAGGAGTTATAGGCGTTAATAACCCTTCCAGAGGAGTTGGGTAGGCCTTCTTAACCCTTCCAGAGGTGGTTGACAGGCCTTAATAAAAAAAAAGAGTGGTTGATAGGCCTATATAACCCTTCCAGAGTGGTTGATAGGCCTTAATATATATAGATATATTAATATTAAGGGGGTTGTCAAGCCTTAATAACCCTCCAGAGTGGTTGATATGCCTTAATAACCCTCCAGAGAGGTTGATAGGCCTTAATAACCCTTCCAGAGGAGTTGATAGGCCTTAATAACCCTTCCAGAGGGGTTGATAGGCGTTAATAACCCTTCCAGAGGAGTTGATAGGCCTTAATAACCCTTCCAGAGGGGTTGATAGGCCTTAATAACCCTCCAGAGTGGTTGACAGGCCTTAATAACCCTCCAGAGGGGTTGATAGGCCTTAATAACCCTCCAGAGGGGTTGATAGGCCTTAATAACCCTCCAGAGGGGTTGATAGGCCTTAATAACCCTCCAGAGGGGTTGATAGGCCTTAAGGCTAACACCAAAGTAAAAACAGAACGCACCCATCACCCCCAGAACGCACCCATCACCCCCAGAACGCACCCACCACCCCCAGAACGCACCCATCACCCCCAGAACGCCCCAGAACGCACCCATCACCCCCAGAACGCACTCACTACCCCCAGAACGCACCCATCACCCCCAGAACGCACCCACCACCCCCAGAACGCACCCACCACCCCCAGAACGCACCCACCACCCCCAGAACGCACCCACCACCCCCAGAACGCACCCACCACCCCCAGAACGCACCCATCACCCCCAGAACGCACTCACACCCCCAGAACGCACCCATCACCCCCAAAACGCACCCACCACCCCCAGAACGCACCCATCACCCCCAGAACGCACCCACCCCCCAGACCACCCATCACCCCCAGAACGCACCCATCACTCCCAGAACGCACCCATCACCCCTAGAACGCACCCATCACCCCCAGAACGCACCTATCACCCCCAGAACGCACCCATCACCCCCAGAACGCACCCATCACCCACAGAACGCACCCATCACCCCTAGAACGCACCGATCAGCTGGTCCACCTCACAACATTGCCCTCGACAAGACCGTAGAGTTCTCAAGACAAAACGAGCTTAAGTTATTTCAAAGTAATTCATTATCTAATTACTAAACTGGACGAGTCTCCTCTGAGTTGGGTAACGACTCAACTCAGGGACGAGTTTGTCACGAGTTCCAACAACGAGACAAAGGCAAAGAAAGGTTATCTTGAGGTTATCTTGAGGTTATCTTGAAGGTATCTTGAGGTTATCTTGAGATGATTTCGGGGCTTAGCGTCCCGCGGCCCGGTCCTCGACCAGGCGTCCTTTTTGTTACACACCCCCAGGAAGCAGTCCGTAGCAGCTGCCTAACTCCCAGGTACCTGTTTACTGCTAGGTGAACAGGCACATCAGGGTGAAAGAAAAGAAATGTTTAAGAACTGAGTACGTCCTGATTGAAGCATTCACTATCTTTAAGTGATACCTGTGGGTTACTTATTGATTTACAACCACACGAAACATTAAAGCAGCTTTACAACCACACGAAACACTAAACCAGCAGCTTTACAACCACATGAAACACTAAAGCTGCAGCTTTACAACCACATGAAACACTAAAGCTGCAGCTTTACAACCACACGAAACACTAAAGCAGCAGCTTTACAACCACACAAAACACTAAACCAGCAGCTTTACAACCACACGAAACACTAAAGCTGCAGCTTTACAACCACACGAAACACTAAAGCAGCAGCTTTACAACCACACAAAACACAAAAGCAGCAGCTTTACAACCACATGAAACACTAAAGCTGCAGCTTTACAACCACACGAAACACTAAAGCAGCAGCTTTACAACCACACAAAACACTAAACCAGCAGCTTTACAACCACACGAAACACTAAAGCAGCAGCTTTACAACCACACAAAACACAAAAGCAGCAGCTTTACAACCACACAAAACACAAAACCAGCAGCTTTACAACCACACGAAACACTAAAGCAGCAGCTTTACAACCACACAAAACACTAAACCAGCAGCTTTACAACCACACGAAACACTAAAGCAGCAGCTTTACAACCACACAAAACACAAACCAGCAGCTTTACAACCACACGAAACACTAAAGCAGCAGCTTTACAACCACACAAAACACAAAACCAGCAGCTTTACAACCACACGAAACACTAAAGCAGCAGCTTTACAACCACACAAAACACAAAACCAGCAGCTTTACAACCACACAAAACACTAAACCAGCAGCTTTACAACCACACGAAACACTAAAGCTGCAGCTTTACAACCACACAAAACACTAAACCAGCAGCTTTACAACCACACAAAACACAAAACCAGCAGCTTTACAACCACACGAAACACTAAACCAACTTTACAACCACACGAAACACTAAAGCACCAGCTTTACAACCAGAGAGAGAATTAACATGATAACTTTGAATATTTAAATACCTGGAGACTGTCTTCAAAAATGAGAACAGATTTGCATGGCAGGATCTGTTTATTGATTTTGATTTGTATAACAAACCAATGTTGTGTTGATTTGACAAGACTGTTCACTGTGAGATGGTGAGTGATTCCTAACCTGAGGATTCTCTGCATGCAGCAGGGCGGACTTCAGAGGCTGTTTGATCAAGTGTTTGTCGAGTTGAATCCTGATCTCCGTGGAATGGAATGTAAATTATCTTAAAAATTCCGTTACTAATTGAGTTTACTTTTGTTTCTCTACTTAGACAAGGTTGAAATGGTTTAATATCCTCGTTTGCTCCACACCGCCTTATTTTCTTTACCGGGATTTATTCAGACGTCATGTAATCCTAATTTTTAAATCCGAGACGTAATCCTTTTCTTATATTCGTGATGTAATCCTTTTTTATATTCGTGATGTAATTCTTTTCTTATATTCGTGATGTAATCCTTTTCTTATATTCATGAAGTAATCCTTTTTTATATTCGTGATGTAATTCTTTTCTTATATTCGTGATGTAATCCTTTTCTTATATTCGAGACGTAATCCTATTCTTATACTCTTATAATCCTATTTTTATTCTCTTGTAATCCTATTACAAGAGTAGATGTAACTTCACGTAATCCTATTGTAAACTTCGTAATATAATTATCTCAGTAATCAGTCATCATATTCATCGTTGTCGTTCGTAAAGGTGTTGTAAAGCGAGAGGTTCTCGTAGCTCTCAGCGGCCCTTGTAAAGCTTGTGGTTATGTATCTGTTGTATTATGTATACAGCGGTGTATTTTGTAGCAGAGAGGTCCCTTTCTTCTGCTGGAGTCTGCTCTCACTCCTGCTTCATTCTCCATGTTGGGTATTAGTCTGCTGTAGGGTGCGGTGTCTAAGGGCATTCCTGCTTCATTCTCTTTGCTGGGTACTAGTCTGCTGTAGGGTGCGGTGTCATATTCTCCAGGGGTACTAGTCTGCTGCTGTCTAAGGGCATTCTCTTTGCTCCATGTTGGTACTAGTCTGCTGTAGGGTGCGGTGTCTAAGGGCATTCCTGCTTCATTCTCTTTGCTGGGTACTAGTCTGCTGCGGGGTACGGTGTCTAAGGGCATTCCTGCTTCATTCTCCATGTTGGGTACTAGTCTGCTGCGGGGTACGGTGTCGAAGGCTTTCTGACAGTGTAAAATACCGCAGTCTGCTCACTGTTCACTCTCTCACCGTTCACTGTTGCAACGCACGTGGCTTTACCGTTGTTTTTCTTGAGTTGTTGCTGTATTTCCAATGCCGTTTTAAAATTGGATTAAATTGGCAAATTGGCTCTCTGGTAATCCTCTTAGTCTCTTTCATTCTTTTACTGGTCTATTTTTCCCTTGGTGTTACACCTGTTCTTTGCTTGTTTTAGTCCTTGCTTAAACTCGTGTGTTATTCGGATGTCAATGCTGTCAAAGGCAGATCTGTCAAATGCTTGCCAGCATGTCTTGTCGAAGAAGTGACAGAAAATCAAAAAAATTGTGGTTATGTTTTAATAACATAAATGTTGACTTTTAGTTGAATTTAGAAAACCAAGTGAATAGTTGATATTAATATTTCCTGGGCTTTAGATGTTGTTAAAGATTCGCTACTTGAAACAAAAAGTTCCAAGCAGCACGGGCTATGGTGAGCCCGTAGTTTAGGCTTTAGAATTATAACTAGCCTCGTAGCTACGAGGGGCTACGAGGGACCAGGCTACGAGGGGCCTCGTAGCCTGGTGGATAGCACGCAGGACTCGTAATTCTGTGGCGCGGGTTCGATTCCCGCACGAGGCAGAAACAAATGGGCAAAGTTTCTTTCACCCTGAATGCCCCTGTTACCTAGCAGTAAATAGGTACCTGGGAGTTAGTCAGCTGTCACGGGCTGCTTCCTGGGGGTGGAGGCCTGGTCGAGGACCGGGCCGCGGGGACACTAAAGCCCCGAAATCATCTCAAGATAACCTCAAGATAACCTAAGTAGGAGGAAGCAAAGAGGTATATTATTTAAGGGTGCTCTTCCCCTTGACACTAGAGCTGCTAGAGCTTTAGAGCTGTTAGTTTACCTTAGCATTTTAATCTGATAGAGTCATAGAGGTGAGGGAATAACCGAGATTATACCTGTTATATCTGTCTAACAGTGAACACAAAGGTAACTACATGTTAACTTAGATACGACTGATAAAGACAGTCTATTTAACACAAGGGGAACACGCACAAGGGGACACAGGTGGAAACTGAGTGCCCAAATGAGCCACAGAGATATTAGAAAGAACTTTTTTAGTGTCAGAGTGGTTGACAAATGGAATGCATTAGGAAGTGATGTGGTGGAGGCTGACTCCATACACAGTTTCAAGTGTAGATATGACAGAGCCCGATAGGCTCAGGAATCTGTACACCTGTTGATTGACGGTTGAGAGGCGGGACCAAAGAGCCAGAGCTCAACCCCCGCAAACACAACTAGGTGAGTACATAATTCTTGTTATAAGTGCAGACAAGTAGAGTCACAACATATATTAACCATCCTGAATACTTTTGGTGCTAAGTAGGCAACACTGATTACTTTATTAGATACTTTATTAGCAGGGCAGTTGTAGCAAGGGAAGAACATTTAAGATTGATGAAGATTAAGCCACTACAAAAGCTGGCATGGGCATGAATAACCCGTAAAGGGTAGATTTTTTGTGGTAGTGAATGTGATCTTTGGTCCTAAAACGTTATACTGTAAGCCAGGGTCCAGATTCACGAAGCAGTTACGCAAGTACTTACGAACCTGGGGCCAGATTCACGAAGCAGTTACGCAAGCACTTACGAACCTGGGGCCAGATTCACGAAGCAGTTACGCAAGTACTTTCGAACCTGGGGCCAGATTCACGAAGCAGTTACGCAAGTACATACAAACCTGGGGCCAGATTCACGAAGCAGTTTCGAACCTGGGGCCAGATTCACGAAGCAGTTACGCAAATACTTTCGAACCTGGGGCTAGATTCACGAAGCAGTTACGCAAGTACATACGAACCTGGGGCCAGATTCACGAAGCAGTTACGCAAGTACTTACAAACCTGGGGCCAGATTCACGAAGCAGTTACGCAAGTACTTACGAACCTGGGGCCAGATTCACGAAGCAGTTACGCAAGTACTTACGAACGTGTACATCTTTCCTCAATCTTTGACGGCTTTGGTTACATTTATTAAACAGTTTACAAGCATGAAAACTTGTCAATCAACTGTTGTTATTGTTATAAACAGCCTCCTGGTGCTTCGGAGCTCATTAACTGTTTAATAATTGTAAACAAAGCCGCCAAAGATTGGGAAAAGATGAACAGGTTCGTAAGTGCTTTCGTAACTTCTTCGTGAATCTGGCCCCAGAGTCGTGGATTATAGTGAGGTAACCGTCCAACAGTGAGGGAAGGCTTGTGAGGGTTGTGAGTGACCCTCAAAGATGCTTGTGAAAGTGCGGTGATGATGGTGAGATTGTGTTTGATGATAGTGCAATCTGCCTTCTTACAAAGAACGTCGCTTTTCGCACGTATGCGTTACATAAGGCCAAACATCGTACTAGAAAATGGAAGCGGCTGGCGAAAATGACGTACTGTCCCGTTTTTTGTTTTGGGTCCTCTGGTAGGTTAGGAGAGACTACTTTAAATTGACCGTTTTCTTGTTGGTAAACCTTAGGAGGAAGGACTTGATTGCTGTGGCTATCATTGGCTATCCAGAAGACGGCACCATTGGCCGGTGGACACAGATATCCTATCTTGAGGTTATCTTGAGATGATTTCGGGGCTTTAGTGTCCCCGTGGCCCGGTCCTCGACCAGGCCTCCACCCCCAGGAAGCAGCCCGTGAAAGCTGACTAACTCCCAGGTACCTATTTACTGCTAGGTAACAGGGGCATTCAGGGTGAAAAAAACTTTGCCCATTTGTTTCTGCCTCGTGCGGGAATCGAACCCGCGCCACAGAATTACGAGTCCTGCGCGCTATCCACCAGGCTACGAGGTCCTAGCTTACAGGGTCGGGCTAGACTCCTGGGCCCCGCCTTCCCAACGTTCTTAAATTAATGCGATGACACATTGTCAATATTTTTATTATATTTACATTTAAAACGAAACGAAAATTCCAGTTTGTATTTTTTCTAGTGTTTCTAACTAGAAACACTAGAAAATATACACTCTAGTGTATATTTCATACAGCATGGAATACATTTGGGGTTATATTTGTTAGCCTTCACGTAAGGCTTGTCACCAGTTACCATTGGATAAGCGTACCATTGGATAAGCATACCATTGGATAAGCGTACCATGGATAAGCATACCATTGGATAAGCGTACCATTGGATAAGCGTACCATTGGATAAGCATACCATTGGATAAGCGTACCATTGGATAAGCATACCATTGGATGAGCGTACCATTGGATAAGCATACCATTGGATGAGCGTACCATTGGATAAGCATACCATTGGATAAGCATACCATTGGATAAGCGTACCATTGGATAAGCATACCATTGGATAAGCATACCATTGGATAAGCATACCATTGGATAAGCATACCATTGGATAAGCATACCATTGGATAAGTGTACCATTGGATGAGCGTACCATTGGATGAGCGTACCATTGGATAAGCGTACCATTGGATAAGCATACCATTGGATAAGCATACCATTGGATAAGCGGATAAGCATACCATTGGATAAGCGTACCTTTGTTTGGGGTTCGAGTGAACCTTTGTTCATGGCTCCTGGGGACTTCCACATTGGGAAGACCACCCAATCAAGACCAAAGGGGGTGACCACCCAGTGTGGTGGTCACCCCCTTTGTGTTGTTCGTCTGTCTGTCTTGTAACCCCCTAAGCCTCCAATGACCAATTTGTTAAGCCTTGTGGTCAAAGGAACAAGTCAACACACTCTATAACTTTATATATGATAACTTCTTCTCAATTAATGTTGATAATTAATTTTTTCTTTACCAGTTATGAAAGCCTCAATGTAAATTAACTCTCTATAATTTTAACATTGGAGTTACATCCTAATTTACAATGAATAATTGTAAAAATATATTGTATTAAAATATATAAAAACATTGTATTAAAATTAAAATATATTGTATTAAAATAAAAAATAAATTGTCTTAAAATAAAAAATATATATAATGCATTCAAAAATACATTGTATTCATTTACAATGAATAAATACTGTACTGCTGTACCGTACACCAATTATGTAATTCTCGCGTTACATAATTTGAAAAATTCTGAATGTTCTGCTGTATAACTAAAGTTAATGTATTATGCGTGAGTTTCAGGCTCTTTAACACCGAGTACGGGATAACAGTGAGAGTTCTAAGAGTTCTACGCTCGGTAAGAGTTCACCAGGTCTTCTCTCAACCTAACGATGCTCTCACTAAACTGGTGAGAGTTTGGCTAAACTGACCGGGGTTCGAACTCAGTTGACAATTCTATTGTCTCTGACAGCAATATTGTCTTGTGTGAAAGTTTTCACAGCTGTCAGACTGTTGTTATCTTATTTTAGCTGTCAGCTCTTGAATGCAAAATACATATATTGTGTTGGGGTGGGGGAAGGGATTTATATATTGCTAAGCTCAGTTAGAGCTACGTCGGGTGACGTATCCAGTATAGCTGCGTCCAGCTGACGTATCCAGTTGGTTAGGCGAGCTGAAGCTAGGTAACCACAAGGTAAATGTGTATACCACAAACGTCAGACCAATCTTGGAGTATGCAGCAACAGCATGGAGTTCATATCTAGTTAAGCATAAGACTAACTTGTAGAAGGTTCGGTGGTATGGCACTAAACTAGTCCCAGATCCACAAGGAGTGAATTACGAGGAATGGTGACGTGAATCGAACTTCACGTTGCTGGAAGACAGAAGAGTTCGGAGAGACATGATCACTCCATACAACATTCTCAGGGTAACTGAAAAGTCAGATATAGCCAGGTGGTGCTCACACAATGGGGACACAGGTGGAAACTGAGTATCCAAATGAGTCAGAAACATTAGAAAAACAAAAAATAGAATTTTCGTTTCGTTCTAAATGTAAATGTAATAAAATCATTGACAATGGGTCATCGCATTAATCTAAGAACGTTGGGAAGGCGGGGCCCAGGAGCCTAGCCCGACCCTGCAAGCCGGGATAGCTGTGTCCACTGGCCAACGGTGTCCTCAGCTGGATAGCCAGTGATAGCCACCGCGGATAGCTCATAATACCACCAAAATACCATTAAGGAATTATATCCCCGAGTCCCCAAAACACCTGAGTCAGCTGTGTCACTTGTGTGTCACCTGTGTGTCACCTGTGTGTCACCTGTCACCTGCCACCTGTGTCACATCTGTCACTGTATGTCACCTGTGTATCACATCTATTTCATAATTCTAAATAAAAGTAAGCTCCAGGGAGAGAGAGAGAGGGAGAGGGAGAGAGAGGGAGAGAGAGGAGAGAGAGAGAGAGAGAGAGAGAGAGAGAGAGAGAGAGAGAGAGAGAGAGAGAGAGAGAGAGAGACAGAGAGAGACAGAGAGAGAGAGAGAGACAGAGAGAGACAGAGACAGACAGACAGAGAGAGAGAAGAGAGAGAGAGAGAGAGAGAGAGAGAGAGAGAGAGAGAGAGAGAGAGAGAGAGAGAAGAGAGAGAGAGAGAGAGAGAGAGAGAGAGAGAGAGAGAGAGAGACAGACAGAGAGAGAGAGAGAGAGAGAGAGAGAGAGAGAGAGAGAGAGAGAGAGAGAGAGAGAGAGAGAGAGAGAGAGAGAGAGAGAGAGAGAGAGAGAGAGAGAGAGAGAGAGACAGAGACAGAGAAAGAGAGCATGTAAAAGATAGTGTGACACAGAGAGTGTTGGTCAGGTGGAGGTCCAGGGCTGGAGCTGTCAAACAGGCCACAACAAACCCCACTTTAGTGCGGGTTTTCAGTCCAGAGTTCTGTGAGTGTTTACGCGTCTCTGGCCACCTTTAGTAATGGCCGCCCCGGCTGGCGTAACCAATAAACAATAAATCCTCGGCACAATTTTGTTTCCAGAGAGCAAGGGAGGTATAAGGGTTTGTTGGTCTACCTCCGGTTGCTTGTAGTGAATCAAGGTGGAGATGTTGACAGTTTACCTCTGGTTGTTCGTTTAGGCCAGGGGTAGATAGGGGGAGTTTGTTTAGGGGTAGATAGGGGGAGTTTGTTTAGGGGTAGATAGGGGGAGTTTGTTTAGGGGTAGATAGGGGGAGTTTGTTTAGGGGTAGATAGGGGGAGTTTGTTTAGGGGTAGATAGGGGGAGTTTGTTTAGGGGTAGATAGGGGGAGGTTGTTTAGGGGTAGTTAGGGGGAGTTTGTTTAGGGGTAGTTAGGGGGAGTTTGTTTAGGGGTAGTTAGGCGGAGTTTCTTTGATGGTTGTCCCTACCACCACACCGCCACATTCTGGCTGCTCCTTTGTTTTCCTCCTCTCTGGGCTGTGCCCGCTCGTGCGGGTAGTTAAGTTTTTGTATTGTGTTGACCCACACACTGGAAATGCTGCTTCGGGGTCCACTCTAAATATACAAATCCAGTTTTGCATGTATGCTTTTGTGTGTGTATTCGTGCGCTTCTCTTTGTGTGTGAACGTTGCATTTATGCAGGTATGTACGCATCCATGCACATGTGTACATGTGTGGGTGGATACATGTGCTCATGTGTAGTACATTTGAACATGTATGCATGTGCAAATGGGGTGAGGGAGGGAATGAATCCAACATTAGTTGCGAACACTATTAAAGATCTGAAGTGAAAGTTGTGATTTAAACATCCCTCAGCACACAGGTGCTGAGGGATGCTGAGGGATGCTGAAGGATGCTGAGATGCAGCACACTGCTTCCGGTAAAGTGTACTACTACTACTACTACTAATGCATTTGGCTCCAACACTTTCCATGCCTCACGTCATGGATAGATATATATAAATCTGCACTTTATAATAATTAATAGGTGTGTGTATCAGTATTTTCTTGTCTAGTCTAGAGACGATATATTTGATGTCTGTGTGAGATAGACATCAGATAGACATAGATAGTGAGTCATCAGTTGGGACAAGAGAAACTTGCTACAGTCCTCTTTAAGCTCAGATAATGTGAAAGGTTCACTGACATTATTTAGATGTCTCTTGTGTATTGAATAAGTCAGTTTATAGTCGTCTTCACAGGACCTAACCTCTGGCACTATATTGAGGACTTCGTGAAAGCAAATGTTCCATAGAAGCGAGCTGATGACACCACAGTTGGGAGAATCTTCTCAGTTCTAAGTTCGCAGGAGGACTAATTGATGAACTCCTGGAAGGCTCCGCGTTGCTTAAGAAGTTTTCAGTGAGGTACAGAAGAGTCCCATCATTTGCAAGGCTCTGAAGCTTACTTTCCAGTCCTCTACCAGGCTCTATCAAAGGCTCAGCTTGGGGCCCTGGGCCTTGGTACTTTCTCTTTTGTAAAGTTACAGGAAGATGAGCGGAAACTGGTGAGAGAAGGTGAGTCGTGTGTCTCAGTGATTTGCATTCTGATCGCCAAGTGAGAAACAAGATGATCAGCCATTTCTTTGGCATTGACAGTTGGAGGGTCGGATCAGGCCTATTTAAGTGGGGTTATGAAGGCATCAGATGCTAGTTCACGATGCTGCCGGACATGTGGGCAGATAGATTATATGGTCATTAGACCCAAGACAGGTGTGAAACAATCAGATCTATAGGTGTGATCACCTGTTGTAGGTTCATGTCTCAAACGAGTGCTGATGTTGATCCTGGTAGAGCACCTTATCTAGGTGCTCATCAGGTGCAGTATTGGTTCACTTTCATACTACTGATAGCGACCAACAGACGCGAAAAATTGGTTATTTTGCCGATATCCATTGTGGAAGATTAATAATATGTAGCTGGGTTAATTCACTGTTATTTCATGCAATAAATATTATTATGAGAATGTCACAATCGCTGTGGAAAACAAGCCTCCTAGCCCACACCTGAGACCCACACCTGAGGCCCACACCTGAGGCCCACACCTGAGGCCCACACCTGAGGCCCACACCTGAGGCCCACACCTGAGGCCCACACCTGAGGCCCACACCTGAGACCCACACCTGAGGCCCACACCTGAGGCCCACACCTGAGGCCCACACCTGAGGCCCACACCTGAGACCCACACCTGAGGCCCACACCTGTGAAGAGAAAGGGCAGTAACGCTTTGGTCCGTCGTGGACCAACATCAACCCTCACCAGTTGATTGACAGTTGAGAGGCGGGACCAAAGAGCCAGAGCTGAACCCCCACAAGCACAACCAGGTGAGTACAGTTACGTGAGTACATAGCTTTGCTTACATAATAATGTTTAATAATATTATTATTATTAAAATCAATTAGTAAATAATATACAGAAATATAACTAATATTAACACATTTGTATATCATTATCAGATATAATTTTTAACCGGCTTAGAAACGAGAAAAACAGTAACCATTTGTTATTAAATTTAAGCTTTAATCATTAAAAGATTTTTCCTTCACTGGCTATGGAAATATATTTTTTGGGAATAGCTTTAATCCGCATAACACCTAAACCATATTAAATGTGAATAGTTTTCTCACAAATATTTATTAAAACCCGGACTGTGGCACCACTGTGGGTTCGAACCGTCGTCTTTGTTGACGTTTTGCACTTGTATTGTAGGTGAGTGTTTAGTTGGTAACACTGGTGCGGAGATTGTGGAGGTGGTACCAGCACCTGGTTTCTGTCTGTCTCTGTCTCTCTGTCTCTGTCTCTGTCTGTCTCTCTCTCTCTCTCTCTCTCTCTCTCTCTCTCTCTCTCTCTCTCTCTCTCTCTCTCTCTCTCTCTCTCTCTCTCTCTCTCTCTCTCTCTCTCTCTCTCTCTCTCTCTCTCTCTCTCTCTCTCTCTCTCTCTCTCTCTCTCTCTCTCTCTCTCTCTCTCTCTCTCTCTCTCTCTCTCTCTCTCTCTCTCTCTCTCTCTCTCCCTCTCTCTCTCTCTCTCTCTCTCTCTCTCTCTCTCTCTCTCTCTCTCTCTCTCTCTCTCTCTCTCTCTGTCTCTCTCTGTCTCTGTCTCTGTCTCTCTCTCTCTCTCTCTCTCTCTCTCTCTCTCTCTCTCTCTCTCTCTCTCTCTCTCTCTCTCACTCTCTGCGTTCCATATTTCTCAATTCATATGTTATCGTAGTCCAGTTTATTATATAAATTACTAGACACCGTACCCGGTTCAGCTCCTATTCTCTCTGTTTCTGCTCCCCATCTTTCTCTCTCATTTCTCTTCCCCTCTCTCATATCCTCATATCTATATCCTCTCCTCTTCTCTAACCGTCTTTTCATCTTTCTCCCTCTTTCTTGATTCACACAGTCCTTCCCTCTCTTTTCCTATCCTTCCCTATCCTTCCTCTCTTTTCCCCCCTCCACCACGTGTCTTCCATCCTTTCCATATTTCTCTCCTCTGAGCTTCCCTCTCCCTTCCCCTTCCTTTATTTCCCCTCTCTCCATCTCTCAGAAAATGTATCACTGTAACCCGAATCAGTTCACGTTCATCGTCTTCGAGTAAATTATGAAAATGCGCGGGCAAACGGCGGGAGTAGCCATTAAAACTCTTTGGAAAGCAGAAAATCATGATTTTATTTCAGACTTCGTAAAGATTGCGACTTGGTAAAGGGGGTGACGGGGGTGCTTTTTGATGCCGATATTTCTTAAAGCAAGGCACTTGGGCCGACCCCGACTAGCATATAACAGGTATCCATATTTCATGCGGGAACTTTTTGTGAGACTAACCCGAAGCATCTGGCCTCTAAGTCTAGACAAAGACATTCTATTTTTTTTAAATAAATTACTTTCATCCTTATCCTCATCCTTACCTCTATTTCCCACTTCATGGGATAGAAAGCTTTAAACTCGGAGGGAAGAGGAGATTAATACGAGAAATTAGAACAAAACATATTCTAAATTTATGATATTCGTGGAATCAAACTAGAATCATAGAGAATATTGACCCTTGTGATACTGGGGATGGCAGGGGGGGGGGACAGGGAGACAGGCAAACAGACAGTGACATAATATGACTAGTGGACAGAAACCAACAGATTAACAGGGAACATCAGATCAACAGAGACCAACAGATCAACGGAGACCAACAGATCAACAGGGACCAACAGATCAACAGGGACCACAGATCAACAGAGACCAACAAATCAACAGAGACCACCAGATCAACAGAGACCAGCAGATCAACAGAGACCAACAGATCAACAGAGACCAACAGATCAACAGAGACCACCAGATCAACAGAGACCAACAGATCAACAGAGACCAACAGATCAACAGAGACCAACAAATCAACGGAGACCAACAGATCAACAGGGACCAACAGATCAACAGGGACCACCAGATCAACAGAGACCACCAGATCAACAGAGACCACCAGATCAACAGAGACCACCAGATCAACAGAGACAAACAGATCAACAGAGACCAACAGATCAACAGAGACCAACAAATCAACAGAGACCAACAGATCAACAGAGACCAACAGATCAACAGGGACCAACAGATCAACGGAGACCAGCAGATCAACAGAGACCAACAGATCAACAGAAACCACCAGATCAACAGAGACCAACAGATCAACAGAGACCAACAGATCAACGGAGACCACCAGATCAACAGAGACCAGCAGATCAACAGAGACCAACAGATCAACAGAGACCACCAGATCAACAGAGACCAACAGATCAACAGAGACCAACAAATCAACAGAGACCACCAGATCAACAGAGACCAACAGATCAACAGGGAACATCAGATCAACAGAGACCAACAGATCAACAGAGACCACCAGATCAACAGAGACCAACAGTTCAACAGAGATCAACAGAGACCAACAGATCAACGGAAACCAACAGATCAACAGAGATCAACAGAGACCAACAGATCAACGGAAACCAACAGATCAACAGGAAACCAAAAGATCAACAGAGACCAACAGATCAACAGAGACCAACAGATCAACAGAGACCAACAGGAAACCAAAAGATCAACAGAGACCAACAGATCAACAGGAACCAACAGAGACCAACAGATCAACAGGAACCAACAGAGACCAACAGATCAACAGAGAACAACAGATCAACAGAGACCAACAAATCAACAGAGACCAACAGATCAACGGAAACCAACAGATCAACAGAGACCAACAGATCAACAGAGACCAACAGATCAACAGAGACCAACAAATCAACAGAGACCAACAGATCAACGGAAACCAACAGATCAACAGAGACCAACAGATCAACAGGAACCAACAGATCAACAGGAACCAACAGATCAACAGGAACCAACAGAGACCAACAGATCAACAGAGAACAACAGATCAACAGAGACCAACAAATCAACAGAGACCAACAGATCAACGGAAACCAACAGATCAACAGAGACCAACAGATCAACAGAGACCAACAGAAAGAAACGGCTATTCAGACACAGATTACCAGCCATTATATAAAATAGTGTGAATAAAAGATATTTATAAACAGATAATTTACCCTAATGGTGAACCCTTAATTCGTCTTAAAACCCATTACTAAAAAAACAGTAAGAATATCATATACATATTTCTGAATTTAAAATTAAATTGGCGCCGTTATTCAAATAGACAAATTAAAAAAAAAAACTTTGGACCAGAATATAATAGTCAAGAATAGTTTGAGTTTGAGTTAAATAGGTATAGGTTAAGTAATAATTGTAATTACGAAGCAATAAGATGCTTATCTTAAGATACTAACAAGGTTAGGTAAGGTCGGTGTTTTCTATGAATCTTTTTAAGGGTATCTATTATGTTTAGTATATCACCTATGCACGTAGTTAATAAGTCAATATTGACTTTACGAATTTGCGAGAACGGGTTGCTTAATCGTCCGCTAACTACACCTTTCTCGTTAACAAGGAAAACACCGCATTTTAAACACTAAACTACTCGAAATGATCTCAAGTCTCATAGGGATCATAAAAGCATTTCCCTTGTCTGTATGTATATTTTCTCGTTCCAAAATATCATTCCAAATCTACTTTGCGTTTCATTTCGGTAATGGCGTGAGGGGGGAAAGTTGGGAGTCAGGGTATCGAACACGGTAATGCAATTATGTCAAAAACTTGGTGAGGGAGAAAGTGTGTGAGGTGGCGATTGGGAGTGTCAGTAGTTTGTTTGTTTCTCTCTCTCTTTCTCTCTTTCTCTCTTTCTCTCTCTCTCTCTCTCTCTCTCTCTCTCTCTCTCTCTCTCTCCCTCTCATTATCTTATATAGTTTTTCATTATTCTCTACTGACGTTGAGAATGAATAATGATATAATTTTTTATTCGTTTTCCGTTTCAAAATATAATTGGAAAATATTTTTGACAGCCGAATATTAATCTCCATTTTTATTGGCGACTTAGAGTTGGCCGGCCGCTCTTTCCTATTGGCTCAAGGAAGCTGGTATTTCAGGCTAGAGGTGCGCTGATTGGTTAGTGTGAAGCTGTAGTTAGTGTGATGTTGTGGGTTAGTAATATACCACTATACACTATAAGGTGAGTGCTGGTACAGCAATTTCAGTGTGTGGTAAAGTGTATACATATACAACGTCTGAGGGACGTTGTATATGTATACACAAAGGGGCTTGGTATGTATGAAGTCTCCGGCTGGAGTACATGCTGTCTGTACCGTACTTCGATGTCTGTACCGTCTGTTGACGGCATAGACAGCGAAGCCCGTCCACGAACCTGTAGTCAGCACCAGGATCGAGTGAAACAAGAGATCGTAGCTCATCATGTGACTGATAACCGGCTTTCGTCTTTGGCTTCCACGTCAAACCGGTTGGGAACCGACGATACGCAGGGAGAAGTAACTTGCAATTGAGTTTGCAACATCTTTCGTGAACTCGGGGGCCGCCTTGTCCAGCACGATAACCAACAATTGCTTGTCCTTCAGTGCCCAGCGCTGCGATGAGCTGTCATTTTCCATCAAGCTTTCTTGTGGCTGACAGCTTGAGGTGTTTGTATGTAGAGCTTGAGCCTCTCCTGTCCGGTTCTGGTATTTCTGGAGGGGACAGAAGTCCGCCCTCCTTCTGATATGACTATGGCATCTAATCATTTTGTTGAAATGTCAACAAAATCTTTGTCAGTTCTTTCCTAACTCTGAAGATCTTAACTCCTGGATCTTCTCTTATCTGTTTTCTTTGCCTTATCTCTGTGCTACCTTTCTTTATATTGTTTTCTTTATCACGATCTTCCTTATTGTCTTGTCTTTTTGCCCTTTCTGGCGGTAAAGAATCCGACTCTTACTTTCCAAGAGTATCTCAGGCAGAGTCTTAAAATAGCTCTTTCTACACTAACATTCTCTAAGAATACTCGAGGTAATCTGACCGAGAAATTCTTTGTAAATATCGTAGAATAAACGAGCTGGCATCGACACGCACTTGGCCTGAGAACGAGTGCATCTGGAGTCCATCGATTGGGTTTGGAGTAATTTCTCTGGAGATGAGTGTGTGGGAGATGAAGAGGCTGTGGAGGACGGAGATGACGGACATGGAGTGGACGAAAGTTGGTCAGGAGGTTCGAGGGGTAAGTGGACCTATTCTCAGCACCGGTCCAGGCGTGGGCCGAGTGGACCCATTCTCAGCACCGGTCCAGGCGTGAGCCGAGTGGACCCATTCTCAGCACCGGTCCAGGCGTGGGCCGAGTGGACCCATCCTCAGCACAGGTCCAGGCGTGAGCCGAGTGGACCCATCCTCAGCACCGGTCCAGGCGTGGGCCGAGTGGACCCATTCTCAGCACCGGTCCAGGCGTGGGCCGAGTGGACCCATCCTCAGCACCGGTCCAGGCGTGGGACAAGTGGACCGTCTACAATAATAGGTGTGATGTACGGGGCCAGTCACGTCATGGTTTAATACATGGTAGGACATACTTCAATGCAAGTTTGCTGTTGATAATTGGATGAGTGCTTAATATGAAGTGCTTCGGCTATGTCTAATGTCTCTTTGTCGTTGAATGTGTCTGTTATTTATTAGCACTTGTTCAGGTATCCACAACCAGCACTTACATGCCACCATTTAAAGATTAGGAGTGAACTATAGTCTTTGGTGGCGCAGAGGTGACGTACTCGCCTCACGCTTCGTATCCTTTGACTGCGTTCGTATCCTGGCCGGGGAGGATTGACTAGGAGCCAATCCTTAAATGTACGCCTCTGTTCACCCAGCAGTGATTGGGTACTTGGTTGTTAAATGATAGTGGGGGTTGTGTTCCAAGGAAATTTGTGCGTATAGGCTTACCATGAGCTATGGGAAGGGAAAGCTCTCAGCCTGCTAGCAGGAGTCAGCAGGAGTCTGCTCCTGTACCCTCCTGTGTAAAATTAGTAGAGTAAGGCTTACCATGAGCTATGAGAAGGGAAAGCTCTCTTCCTGCTAGCAGGAATCAGCAGTCGTCTGCTCCTGTACCCTCCTGTGTAAAGGTAGTAGAGTAAGGCTTACCATGAGCTATGAGAAGGGAAAGCTCTCTTCCTGCTAGCAGGAATCAGCAGTCGTCTGCTCCTGTACCCTCCTGTGTAAAAGTAGTAGAGTAAGGCTTACCATGAGCTATGAGAAGGGAAAGCTCTCTTCCTGCTAGCAGGAATCAGCAGTCGTCTGCTCCTGTACCTTCCTGTGTAAAGGTAGTAGAGTAAGGCTTACCATGAGCTATGAGAAGGGAAAGCTCTCTTCCTGCTAGCAGGAATCAGCAGTCGTCTGCTCCTGTACCCTCCTGTGTAAAAGTAGTAGAGTAAGGCTTACCATGAGCTATGAGAAGGGAAAGCTCTCTTCCTGCTAGCAGGAATCAGCAGTCGTCTGCTCCTGTACCCTCCTGTGTAAAAGTAGTAGAGTAAGGCTTACCATGAGCTATGAGAAGGGAAAACTCTCTTCCTGCTAGCAGGAGTCTGCTCCTGTACCCTCCTGTACCCTCCTGTACCCTCCTGTACCTTCCTATGTAAACAAAAAACAAAAAACTGCCAGCTCACGACATGCCAACTGCTCTTGTCGACCAATAAGAATGGAGACAAAAATTGCCCAACTCCCTCGACTCCGTAAGACGTCATCTCATCTCATTCTGCAGAAAATACACCCAGTCACATCTACGTATCTATATTCACTTTCTCTTTGCCTCCGAAGATGCTGAAGATAACTGCAGCGAAATCTGTAATATAGCGACGTCCCTCGGGTCCGCTACAAATGGAAATGGAACTTTACAGTCATTTTTAAACTTCTTTGCCAAGTGAAGAACATAAGAAATATACAGTTGTTGTTGGCCGTCTTATTAATACATTTTCTGAGAGAAGGGGAGGGCTAAGATGATGGGGGATAGGGGGGAGTGGAGGAGGATAGGAGGGACGAGGATGGGGGACCAAGGGGATAGGGACGAGGGAGTTAATGGGGAGATGGGAGTGGGGTGGAATGAGGGAAGAGAAGCTATTTCAGGCACCATTAGGGACCCTCCCCCTATTCTATATATGCACAATATAGTAGGACCTGTTCCCGGCAGTGCTAGGGAACCCCCTATTTTACCCCTCTATTTTCCCCTCTCCTCATGCTTCCCCTCTTCACTTCCCTTCTCCCCTTGTCCCCTCTTCCCTCCCATCTCCCTCCATCCCCCCACCTCCCTACCTCTCCTCTCCAATAACATAAAAACAGATAAACATTTCCATTTACCGATAAAAAGCAAATTTTAACAATGCGCGGGTAAACGGCAGGAGTAACCTCAACCCTCTACGGACAACACATCCCAGATTTCATTTCAGACTTCATGAACATCTCAGAGTGAGGGTTAGAGGCTATATTTTGTAAACCCTTCAACTTAGACCTTCAACGACTAGCCTATAACTATCCCATACCTCAGACCATTCCCCCTACAAATTTGGATGAGACTATCCTTAAGCTCTTGGCCTCCAGCTTTGGACAGACAGACAAACATGCATTCTTTCATGTAGTATATGTGTATACACACAAGGGGAAGCATATACGAGGCAGAAGAAACAATTATATTTGAAAACGCTGATCACGTTAGAAGGTAAAAAGAGTAGAGAATAATGAAGAATGACAGGAGAGGAGGGTGAGAGAGGGGTGAGAGAGATGGTAAGTGAGAGGAGTGAGAGTGAGAGAGAGAGAGAGAGAGAGAGAGAGAGAGAGAGAGAGAGAGAGAGAGAGAGAGAGAGAGAGAGAGAGAGAGAGAGAGAGAGAGAGAGAAGGAACGCTGTACGCAGGAAGGGGAAAGGAACACGAGAATGAAACAGAAGTTGCAAATAGAGAGAGGGAGGGAAGAACATGTGAATATATTGTAATCCAACTGATGTGTATTGTGTGTACGTGTACTTGCTCTCACAACACACACACACACACACACACACAGTGTGTGTGTGTGTGTGTGTACTCACCTAGTTGTACTCACCTAGTTGTGCTTGCGGGGGTTGAGCTCTGGCTCTTTGGTCCCGCCTCTCAACTGTCAAT